GGACGGACGGACGGACGGACGGACAGGCTCCCAGTCCCGGCTCTGCCGCCGTGGGCTGGGCTATCATCTCCTGCTCGGGGAGGGAAGCTCTCCGCTGATCCAAATATTGCCGCTGCGGCGGGAAGAAGGAGTCAAAATAGCTGAGCAGCCCGTCACCACGAGCCCGGCGAGCTTTTGTGCTCGGCAGGTGCAGGAATTAAACAAAACCAGGCCCCGCCGCCGCGCTGGCGATGCTGCCGCAGCTCCCCGCAGCCGTGGGGGCGATGGCAGAGGATGGGGACACGCCGGGGTGAAGGATGCCACGTCCCGGCCTGTGCCAGCCCACCAAAGCCACGCAGGCGCCTGCACCCCAGCCAGGGACCAGCCGGTCCCTCCGCAGGCATTCTGGGGATGGGGAACGGGGTTGGGGCGATCCTGTGGGTCTCAGCACAGGCAGCGTGGCCCAGGGTCCCCGTCCCCACGTCCCGGCAGGGACGGCCACGTGCAGGGGGCAGGAGAAGCCACCAGCCTGCTCCCCTCTCCCGTCAGGGCAGGGGGCAGCCGGCTGCGGCCAAAAGCCGGAGCCGTGTCCCGCCGAAGGCCGCCGGTGCTGCGCGGCCCTGGGGAAGGAGGGGACCTGTGCCACCAAACCAGACTCAAAAAGTGGAGGGGGAAGAGCCCAGCCCGGCTGAATTTTGTGCCATTTAACACCGGGGTAATTACCACCAGTGGGAACCTACCGCCCACACAATTATGTGCTAGGATAAACTGGAAGAGCGTAATTACCATTACAGAATAACTCGCTTCTTGCCTTTATTGCATCCAAAGCCTGGAGAAACTCCCACCGGCGATTCCCCCACCGCCACCTCCCCTCTGACGTCTGCTCCCACCACGTCTCTCCCCTCCGCGAGGGTCGAGAGGGCCCCGGAGCCCCCGGTGCCACGGGCCGCGCCGAAGTCCAGCCTCCTGCTCCCTTTCCCACAGGGTCACTGGGCAGAGGCCGTCCTGCTTCCCGGCAGCCGCCCGGTGAGATCTCTGCCTCAGAGGCAACGCCGTGCCGAGGCCCAGGGCTGCCGGGACATGGGGCAGCCGTGGCAGGAGCCTGAACTCCCCTGGAACCCTGTGGGGTCCCCCCAGATTTCCTCCAGCTCCGGGGTCACCCCTGGGGAGGTGACAGGACACTAAAACCCCACCGCAACATCTGGGTTCAGCAAACCGCCCTGGCTCAGGGCAAGACGGGGTTTGCCAACGTTTCCAGGTCGAACCCCAAGAGGTTGGCGGACTCACGCCCGGGGGGTCCCAGCACCCCGCCCTTCCCACGCAGCCCCCCGCGGGCACTTACCGCCCGGCGCTCAGGGGGATGCTGTCCTCATGGCCCCGGCCGGCGGCAGCTCCTCCACGCTGGGTGTCCCAGGGGCAGCAGGCTCTGGCGGGGGGGGAGTGACACGAGGGAGGTGAAGCTCAGGGAGGAAAAATCAAGGGTGTTGTTCCCCCAAACCAGCCTGACCCAACTCCCTGTGTAATTTTTCAGCAGCTCAACCTTCCCTCCTCCCCCGAGGCCGCCCCGTAGGCAGCGCTGCCTGCACCGGGTTCGCACGGCTGCGGACACGTGTTTTGCCCAGCTTAGCCCCAAAACCATCCTCTGCCCCATCCTCTTATGCAATTCCCTGCCAGCGGGTGCCCGAGCCGGCCCAGCGGCCGCCTCGCCATCGACTTTGATTTGCTCCCGATCCGGCCATATGCTCCACAAAACCTCCTCCCGCCGCCCCGGCTTTCTGGCACAAGCAAAGGGATTTTTTTCCAGGCGCCAGCCCGGCAGAGGTGCGAGCTCGGCCCGTTCTGCTTTGCAAATTAGCGCGAGGTTTTGCCAGCGCGGGTCCTGCTGGGGATCTTTATGGCTGGGGATGAAAGCAGGAGAGAACAAACACACAGCGTGAACGCCCGGCACCGCGCGCAAGCTGGAGCCTGGGAAAAAAAAAAAAAAAAAAAAAAAAAAAAAAAAAAAAAAAAAAAGAGTGGTCTTCCCACTTAGGAGCTGAGCAAATTTGATCTACGGTCACTGGAAGAAAATAAATATGGAATAACGCCAGGTCATTTCCAACACGCTTTTAATCTATTTACTTTTTCCCAACTCGTCGTAAGCGAGAGGATTGTGGAAAGCAAACATTTTATTTTATGGCTAATTACTCTGTTATTTTATTAGGCTGTATTAGTAAAATTTACTCAGCCTAGAAAAAAAAAAAAAAAGAGGGGCTTAGTAAGAGATCGCCCAATTTAGTGCATAATTCTGCACCGAGTCATTATTTTCTTAAAAGTTGAATGAGCTGAAAGCAGCTCACCGAGG